GCAACCCAGATATTTGATTGTTGTTCTCTATGCAGGCAACCCAAAACAAACACAACCCAAAACAATAATAAATAAATAAAAGAAGAAAAACCATCACTATATCAATCAACAAAACGATTAAAAAGGAATATCAAAAGAGAAACCAAAGAATTTCAATACTGTGCTAAACTCAAAAAATTCCAATTCTCAACATATGTCTGTTAATTGATAAAATCAAGACCAAAAAATACACTAAAGAGGTGAGGAGATACATACCCGATGACAAAGGACGCAAGAACTCGTAGAAAGGTGCCTGAGATGAAGGTTGCAGAAACAATGGAAAATATCACAACGAACAGACACAATTTCATAAACCGAAAGGGCTGCTGGATTCGCAGCTCGACTCCCCAAACGAATATCAACGGCCGCCAAAGCATCTCCAAGAGGGAACGGGAATCTTCCATCGCTGCCCCCCAACCAGCTAGTTCGAAATCAACGATGAACTCTTTCTCTAAGCTAACAATACGTTCGCTGGGAACAAACACTGAAGGAGAAGGGGCAAAAAGGGAAGAGCAGAAAAGGTAAAGTGGAGGGCATTTTCGGCAATTCACTGTGTTGAAGAGAAAATAGAACGTATTTTAACAGTTAAATGAGGGACATTTCCGTCATTTCACTGTTCTTAGGAACAGTATTTAGTTGGATTGTGCTTTAGTATATATATAATTTCAGCTAATTTGGATAAAACCAAAGACTAAAATATTGTACCTACTTTTACCATAATATAAATTAAAGAACATCAAAATTACAAAAGATGTCATTATGACATTATGCCAAATTTCAATATTTCAACCAAAACCTACAGCTATCCACGGATCATCAAAACGACAGCATAGCACCAAAAAATTAATGCGAAACGACAATGCTAATTTGAATGCGCACAACCATTCGCTTTCACTCCAGAAACCGCCTTCTCCACAATATCCTTCCCACTCCTTCCCAAAATACTCAGAGACTGAACCATTCGCATCAACAAATAGCATTGTCGATGATTGTTCACCATCAACCACCACTACAACAAAAATCAAAATAGACGACGAGAAACCACCGTCATCTAGAAGGTTTTCAAACCGTCGTGAAATCGACCGCCATCTTTTGATATATAAAACAAAGACGGCTATTAACTGAGTCATTAATACATTCAACGTTAAACTATATTACAAACAGACGTCTAATTACTATATATATAGCGTAAAATGAAATCTTCGACAACATTAGATGACGATTTTATTAAAACAGAGACGTCTAAAGAGTGTTACATGTCAAGACCAAAACAAACACCGACGTACAGATAATTATCCACGTCCCTAATTGAAGGAATGCAGACTTCATAACCTAGAAACCGTCATGGTTAACTTATACTACGTTAAATAAATAAAGAAACCGACGTCTAAAAAGTACAAGATGACGAATACACCAAAGAACAGACGTTGAAAGTGTATTACATGTCAGTAGTCACACATGAACCATTTGAACAGCTTCCCAAATCTGTTCCTTCAAGTCCTTGGACAATTGAGTCCATTTCTTGTCCACAAGAGGGACTCTGGTACGTGCCAAAACATCAATGTAACTCTGCATCTCAATAGTAGCCTTGCAATGTGGTCTGCTACTTTTATTGTACTCAACCACAGGCTTAATCTTCTGGATTTTCCTTTTCACAACACAGCTCATTGTGTTGATACCGCGAGTCGATTTTGTCTCCTCATCAAATGTCGCAGAGCTTGGGTCTTTCTCAGAGGTTGACATAAAACTCATCTTTTTTGCGGGATTGCTTTGAACAGATTTGGCTTCACTCATTTGTGCCTTTGAAACTACAAGGTCCTTGCTTTGACCTTTTGATACTTGAGCCTCCTTACTTTGAGATTTCGAAACCATGTTTGGAGAGAAATAAAAACTGTAAGCAAAACAACGACGGTTAAGTAAAAAGAGTGACGTAATATCACAATTCAGACGTCGGTAAACAAACAAAATTGTCGTGATAATCTATAGAAATCTGGATGTGCAAACATGTCATGGTAAGAGAATTAAAACGATGCCAATTAGATAAAACCGTCGTCTTACTATGAGTTGATACATAAAAAACTGCCCAAATTTCTCTCTCCCACGTTTGTTTCAAATAAGACGATGGTTTTATCTTTAAAACGTCATGTTTATTCTCACATCACGTCGGTTATTAAGAACAATATCACGAATTTAATTACTGTCGTGGTGTGTGAATAAAAACGTCAAATACAAGGCAAAACCGTCGTCCTCACATGACCTAAGAGTGGGACTAGTGATTTTTGTTCAAACCAGTGAAAGATTTCGTCCTTTTCAAACCCGAGTCTTGTTTCAAACCTCAGTGGGACTCGTTCTTTAAAAAAAACTTCAAATGATATTGAAAAAAGAAAAAGAGAGTGAGAAAATACCTCTGGCTTGCAAAGAAAGTTTTCTTCGGAAGTAAACTTTGGAGTTTTGGAGACGAAGACGAGGAAGAGAGTGAGAATCAGACATGCAGCTTTTGGGAAATAAGAGGAAACTGAAATTTTTTATCGGTTAGAGGGAACGTAAAAGTTTAGGTCAGGTGACAAAAAAGTTTTTATATTGACCAAAAGATCAATACGACTACGGTTCTGACAAAAACCACCCTAGTATGTACTTACCACGACGTTATAATAGTAGAAACCGACGTGGTTAGTAATAAAGCCAATTGACTTTTGGTATTCCGAAAACGACGTGGTTCTCTAGGCACTAAACGTCAAAAGTTTACTTTTGAAGAAGTGATATTATAAGTTAACACATCGTCTTTTTATGCATAACCGATGTTGTTTGTCTTAAAGTCGTTGAATTCAGTTTACCAAACCGACGTTGTTATATCTATTTATACGACGATAATGTATTACGCACCGACGTGGATTATTTTAATTAGACGTCGCTACGTGTAATAGAACCGAAGTGGATAGTGAAGTTTATTTGTATAAATAGGATTTTTTTCACGCGTTCTTTCAATTTTAGTTTTCAATTAGGGTTCCAACTTCTTCTTGCCATTGGCTCTGTCTCACCTCTTTGGATGCAATAGTTTCGATGTTGATGTGTGTGCGCGTTTGTGTATCTAAAAGACACAAGCATGCACACATCATCAACTTCTAAAAAATTATCTTTCTGAATGCAAATGTTTTGGATGTTGATGTGTGGCTGCCGTCGTCAAATTTTTTGGATTTTGATGTGTGTGTGCCTTTGTGTATCTCAAAGACACAAAGACACAAAGACACATACATCACCAACGTCTAAAATATTGTCTTTCTCTCACATTTGTGAATCGATTATGATGAGGAGCAGAATTCCCAATGGTAAGATTTCATTCTAATTTTCTTGTTAAGATGGTTTTCTATATAAACCGTCCTGGTTATTACAATTCTTGTCATTCAGTTGATCTACCATCGTAGGCTACAAAAAAACTAGAAATAAATCTTAAAAAGAAATAAAAATTAAGACGTCGATTTACAGATACGGTCACACGTATAACGAAAATACATATGACTGTATTTTTGAGTTCACGACGTGGTAAAGTAATATTATACGTCGTTAATTGAACAAACCAATGTGGTTAGTACAACTTACCGGGACAGTAGAGTAATAGATGTCGTCGTAGTACACTCTGAATAAAAAGTCGATAAATTTATCTTTACTGTCGTGGTACATTGACTTAACATGGCGAAGTTTTGTAGTATACCAACGTGGATTCCTTTGAAATTATACGACACAGACTAAGAAAATTTGGTCATGTTTATTTAGGAGTAAACATTGCGGCTGTTGTTGAAAACCGTCGTCTTTACTTTCTATGTCGATAGCCTCATAGCTGCTGTCATTGTTTTTGGGCTCAGAGTTTAACTTTGAAGAAAATCTTTTCAATAAGACGACGGTTTTTTAATTTGGTCCGTCGTTTTTTAAAAACATCCATGGGAATCTCCATTTTTTGGGTGTTTAAGTTATTCATCCATGACGGTTTTATATTACCATCGTCTTTTCAAACACAACAACGGTTTTTGGATCTACCGTCATTGTTTTCTGGTCATCTTTTTCACTTTTTGTTGTAGTGCATGATCACATATCCAAGTTGAAATTGTATCTTGTCGATTCTCAATATCGAACCTATAAGGCAATAAGAAGTCTCTACCAAAATTTTATACCAAATTCATCATT